TGATTGCTCGGATAGTGTTTTGAATATGTAGCTATGTCCCACTTTTTCAATGTAACATAAATGAGAAGCATTTTTGTAAGAAAAATGGGGGGGTTACCCTAAGGGGGTAAAAAGGGGGCAAAATGTGTTCCCCTAATTTTTAGAAGAGACTGCAGGCAGTTCAGGACAGTTACCGAAATAAGCAATTCAAGACTCCTGAATAGACATTTTTCAAAAAAGCCAGCATGGCAATCATGTTAATGAATGTTCATGGGAAGATAGTAAAGGACCTTTCAAGGAGCCATTTTGATGTGTGCCTCCCTCATGAACCTGAAGAAATGTCCACCGCATCCCCACTCCCTCACACCAACTCCCCCTCAGCCTCTCACCCCTTACTGCCCTCAAGAAAGCTCCTGGCAAACATTGAGCTAGATAAACCAGCGCTACAAGGAGGAGGCAATTTAGGAATGCAGCAAAGACATTTGCACATAGGACTCCTGCGGTGCACTGAGCTGCACAGGCCAAGTACCAGTGAGATCACCCTGAGGTGCTCAGAACAACACATTCTCCATATAAGCAAAACAATCCAGGAACACAAGTAGGAAAGCCATCACTTTCGTAGAAGGTGGCAGGAGTTGACGTAACAGATGACTGCTTCTTAAATGGACAGTTCTACTGGCCTGCTCCAGAGTGAGCTCACCAAGCAGCCTGGTGATCCTAGCACTTCAGGGCAAAACCACCAATGTGGTCTACAGAGGTCCTTCAGTAGAGAAAAATAGAAGTACGTATGTCTCACTTCATTTTTTACATTACAATCTTCTCCATTAGAATTCCGACAAATGTTACATTTCAGACTTCACATCATCAGTATTATAACTGGATTTACGGAACTTAAATACCGTAGCGAAGCACGGGTATCAGGCTAGTGGAAAAATATAAGAAGAGGGAGAGGCATAACAAAATAAGCACATATTGATAGGCTTGGTCAATAGATTCTTATGGAATTTATTGACCTATCAGAGACAGCCAAGTGCAACAGAAATCAATGGTCTGCCTTCAGTTGTAGCAGTGGAGAATAGGCTGAGTCAGTGTGCGCAGTTTTACTCAGTCAAGGCTAGGCAAGGGCGCTTTTGCATATGCTAAATAATACCCTTTCAATCCACTTTAGTGACCGTTTAAAAGTGGATTTTGCCATTTTATGCAGTAGGATCCACTTGCAAAGTGTGCTGAAAAATGGTAGGCAAGACCTTGTGTTGTACTGCTTTTTGCCTAATTATTTTAAGAAGTGTGGAGGAAGGGAGAGGTTTTGTTGTTGATTTGCAGAGCTGACTTTTTCTGGCCTTTAAATTTGGCCTGATGAGAAAGAGAAAGAACTTACTGGGAGATACAGTTGAAAATAAGGGATACCATCAACTTGACTTATGATCCGATGTGGGGGTGGATTATGTAAAAAAACCAAAACCCTATGCTGGCTACTATGGTTGTCAATTCAGGTTTGGGAAATTCCTGAAGATTTGTGGGCGGCGCTTGGGGAGGGTGAGGTTGGTGAGGACAGGTACCTCAGCAGGGTATTTATGCCATAAAATCTTCCCTCCAAACCAGCCATTTTGTCCAGGGGAACTGATCACTGTCATGTGGAGATCAGTTGTGACTCTGGGAGATCTTGCAGTGCACTGAGGAGGAGATGGAGTTCAGCAGGGTATAAGATTCTACTATCCAAAGCTGCCATTTTCTCCAGGGAAACTGATTTGTATCATCTGGAGATCATTTGTAATTCTGGGAGATCTCCAAGCTTCACTTGGAGGTTGGCAACCCTACAGGTCACCCTGCAGCCCAGTTTAGCCACCACTGCTTGGTATAGTGGAGGTAGGGAAAATGTGTGTGTGTGGATAGACATTGTATTGATGCCGCGATGTCTCTTTGGGCACAAACCCAGAAGGGATGTCATGGCATCTACATGGCACCTGTTAGCATGTCTATGCTGTTCCCGGCAGCCGGAGCTAGCTCTAAGACCGGCTAAGTATTTAACACACACACACACGTTTAGATTCAACTTTTTATTTGACTCGTAAGCATCAAAGGTTCAGTTCTACTCACATTCCCTTTTTCAATAGCTGTTAGGGGCCTTAAAGTTCTGAGTCTTTGAGTGATTCATGTGGTAAAAGGAGCTGAATTTCTTCCATCTGCTAGCCAAGAAGATTACAAACACAATGAAAGGAGGAAGGCAATAAACAGTTTCTCCCGGGTAAATGTATCAAGGAGAAGGAGGCTGTATAGAGCCAACCATGAAGGCTACGCCTAACCAGCTGATTTTAAGATTATTAAGACTATATTTCCCACAATCCTTTATATATTTAAAGATACAGTAAACTTGCTATTCTTTACTATTCTGATCTCTGCCAGGGCAGCACGATGTCCTTGCTCCATTAAACCTCCTATTGGTTGCCAATGCCAGCACTTGACTGGAAGCCCTCATGACCAGGGGTCGTTTCGTAGAAAAAGAGCTAGGGGAACTCATTAGCATATGCCACACCCCCTGACATCACTGGACGTGTTGGGGGCCCGGCGGTGGACCTGCAAGGCCAGCGGGAGTGCGAGGAAGCCCCGCCAAGGCCCTCCCTGGCCCCAGGCAGGCAGGGGTGGGGAGAGGTGGGGAGGAAGCAACTTACCCTCCCTCTTCTCCTGCCTCCTCCTGGCTGAATGAGGGCCGGAAGCAGGGCGGCTGGAAGCAGGGGGCGGGGCTTCATCATGTGCCCCGCCCCCCGCACCTCACCCGGGGGAACTGTGATCCCCCGCGTTCCCCCCCGAATTGACCCCTGCTCATGACGTTCCATTAGATCTTTTACTTTTTTACCTTTTAAAGCCAGAATACTTTATCTGGAAATATGGTGCTTTGTCTTTCGGCTGTAATCAAAGATGAGTGTATGTTTTCCATTATAGAATTAGTTTCCTTCCAGATGCTGTCCACAAAGACTGCATCCTAAGCACATTTATTTATTAAGCCCCAATGAGCTCCACTGGACTTACTTCTGTGTTAGCAACATGCTTAGGATGTGCTAAGCAGACAGGAAAGAAGCAGTAGCTTCAGCACAGGTCCCCTAACAACTAGCACCAATGCAGGTTGCAGTGACAGGCTGGACTGGAACTTCCTGCATAGAGACTGTTTTTGTTTTAGGCCAATGCCAGCCTGCACAGAGCCCTCCCTCCCTCTTCTACTTCTTTTTCTTGGTGACTGTGTTCAGCAGTCACCAGGTTGATGGAATTAACAAAATTAATTACTTTCTGGTCGGTTTAATTTTCTTCCTTTGTTATGTCATGTGTCACATCCTAGAAGCATCCATTGTGCATAAACGAGTGGCTGTCATGCTGCAAAGTGTCGCACTCCAACAGCCCAGCTTGTCCACAGTGGCCTTTTCCCTGAGGGGTGGGGGGGGGATAAGGAAGCTTACTGGTCTTCACGCACACTGCATTAAGTGAATATGCCTACCAAAGCAACCTGTACAAAATTAGAAGCAATATTCAGTTATTAGAACGATGATGTTTCACAAACAACTTGGGGTCACTTGTTGGCCAGAACGAATCTATAGATATGATAACATTTTAAATTGCGTAAAGTGTGTGAAGTGCTGCCTAGCTGCAGCTGACGTATGGCAACCCCATAAGGCTTTCAAGGGAAGAGGCATTCAGAGGTGGCTTGCCATTGCCTTCCTTTGCACAGCAACCCTGGACTCCCTTCGTGGTCTCCTGTCCCAGTACTACTCAGGGCCAACCCTGCTTATCTTCTGTGATCTGATGAGATGGGGCTATCCTGGGCCATCCAGTTTCTTTAGTAACCTCAAATAGATTTTTAAAAAATCACAGAATTATGAACAGTTTGAATACATGTAATACAACAATCATTATAATAAACCACATTTTTTGATTCCATATGGACTCTTGCAGTTTCAGTTTTTTATTGTAATTACTGCATACATTGCACTACATAATAACATGATGCAAAGTAAAAGGGGGGAAGAAGAAATGCGTTTAAAACAATTCAGAGAAAATAAAAGACTATATCTTATCAGTAATTTTCATTCCTATACATAATAAAAGTTGCCCATTATCACAATACTTTTCTGTATATTGTGAATTATTTCTCTGTATCCTTTGGTAGTATCCTTAGTTGATGCTACATTCCAGATAATTAAACCAATCTTTTGTCGAAATAGGTTTTGTTCCCCCCCCCCCAATATGCCACAATAACAATTTTGGCAGCTGTAAACAGAGTTACAGACCATAAGTTGAACCATAAGGAAGGCTGAGCCCCGAAGAACAGATGCTTTCGAACTATGGTGTTGGCGAAGACTCTTGAGAGTCCCCTGGACTGCAAGGAGATCAAATCAGTCAATCCTAAACAAAATCAACCCTGACTGTTCCTTGGAAGGCCAGATACTGAAGATGAAGCTCAAATACTTTGCCCACTAAATGAGAAGGGAGCACTCACTGGAGAAGACCCTGATGCTGGGAAAGACTGAAGGTAAAAGAAGAAGGGGACAGCAAAAGATGAGATGGTTAGACAGTGTTATCGATGCAATGAACATGAAATTAAGTAAACTCGAGGACAGCGGAAGACAGGAGGGCTTGGAGTGATGTGGTCCATGGGGTCACAAAGAGTCGGACTCAACTGTGCAACTGAACAACAACAACAACAACAACAAAACAGAGTTAAGACTAATTCAGTGACAATTTCATATGAACTCTTGGAGGAATTGGATCTGGTAATTTGCTACTCTTTAATGCATCAGTTTGCTTTGACACCTATCTACACTAATTCAGTTTGCAACAACCCCATTGTATTGATCAATCTATAACACATTGTATTAATGAGCCACAGTTTTGTCACTCAGCTGTGGGCATCTCTTTCTCTTCTTTGCATTTAGCTTTCCTTCAGTCTCTCTGTCTTCCAAAAATTATGCTATAACTTTAGGTTTAACTAATTTCATATTTAAAAATGGGGAAAAAAATTGAAATAAACTTACAACGGGGTGGGGGGATCATACAGGAAAAGGCTTTATTAAGGTATCCTCAGTCCAGGATTCTTGGAGCTGTAAAGATATGCACCAACCATTTAAATTGCGCCCAGAAACAAACTGGCAACCAGGAGAGCTCTTTTACAATAGGTGTTAATATGCTCCCTACAGCTAGCCCTAATTAAAAGACAGTTTTGCACATGCAGGACCAAATGAAGGGTCCAAAAGACAATATAGATCTGTCTCTAGCAAAAAATAACTAATCACAAATTGTTTCTCAAATCAAAGATACCTTATTTGCTCCCTCTTATTCAGTCAACTTCTTTCTGCATATGCAGGGTTTTGAATTTTCTAAAGGAATATATTTCAGTTATTTCAAACAGATAAAATTACAAACCGGTGAATGCTCTGAATCTATATCACAGCAATAAAAAACTATGTACGCTATCCCTGCTAAGTGTATTAGAATATCTGGACAGTTTCATAAGGGAATACATGTTTTTCTTTGAGATGGCCCAGACAATTGACAGCTTTAAAGGCTAAGGCAAGCACTTTGGCCTGTAAACATACAGGGAACCAGTGTAGTTTGTGATTTTGCTACCAAGTGAAATTTGTGACAGTGCAATCCTGTGCAAAATTAACCCACTTTAAGCCATTGAAATTAGTTGACTTAGACTGGACTAACTCTGCATAGGACTGCATTCCACACAGGGCTCTTTTTGTAGAAAAAGCCCAGCAGGAACTCATTAGCATAATAGGCCACACCCAACAGCAGGAACTCATTAGCATATTGGGCCACACCCCTGACAGCACAGCTCATTAGCACATTAGGCCGCACCCCCATGTTACCAGAAGTGTGGTTATCCAGCTACACCCACCTTTTGCTTGTTAGTCTGTTTACCTTGTTTGTTGTCAAAACCCAGGGCCTTTTTTGTAGCAGGAACTCCTTTGCATGTTAGGCCACACACCCCTAATGTAGCCAATCCCAATTAGTCCCTGCCATTGGGTGTGGCCTATTATGCTAATGAGTTCCTGCTGGGCGTGGCCAACTTGGGAGCCAGCCAGAACTCCGTTCCTGTGCGTTCCTGCCCAAAAATAGCCCTGATTCCACATAATCTTCAAGGCTTGGCCAACATATAACAACTTGCAGAAGTCTAACCTAGAGGTTACTGGGATGTAGATGACATTGGCAAGATATAACCTTCCAGCAAAGGGCACAGCTGATAAATCAACTGAAGCTGAAAGACAATGTTCTAAGCTACTGAGATAGTTTGGAATCCAGACTAGGAGAAGATCCAAAACCAACCCCATGCTGTGAACCTGATCTTTCAAAGAGAAAGTGATTCCATCTGTGACAGGCCTTTCCAACTAATACCATGACAGTGCAATCCTAAACAGAATTACACCCTTCTAAGGCCACTGACTTTAGTGGATATAGAAGGATGTACCTTTGTTTAGGAATGCACTTTAATCTTCCAGCAGTGTGAAATTCATTTTGTTTGAAAGGGTGTATTCACTCACACTCAATCCACTGAGTTAATGCTCATGAATGACATCACCTGATCTAGAGAGGATAAGAAACAGACCTGTGTGGTCATCTGCATATTGGTGGTACCACATCCCTTAATTCTGGATAAACACCCCATGAAGCAGAGACAAGAGAGCTGTTGGTCAAAAGGCTACTTACCTTTTACCTGTTACTTTTATTGATTTAACTTGATCAAGGTAAAGCAAAAGCTATGTTGGAACACAATCTCCACTACCTGTTTCAGCACCATAAAGTGTGTTCCCTTATACGGCTATATGAACAACAAGCTAATAATTAGCACACATGGAAGTTTTAAAACTGCCTATATAACAACAAGCAGGAGTGGGAAAAAGAATACATTGCACAACCATCCCTCCGTCCACAAAACTACTTGCTCAAAAAGAATGTACACCAATGTAGGGAATTTTGGAAATATCACTTGGATCAGGCAATTAGCCTCCCTTTATTGCATCAATTTGCTCTGAAACCTATTATTGTCTAGATCAGCAGTGGCCAAACTTGCTTAACATAAGAGCCACATAGAATAAACATCAGATGTTTGAGAGCTGCAAGACATAAACAAATATCACACACACGTTTTTATTGGAAAATATGCAAATTTGCTTTTTATTAACATTAAATGAGACTGCCAAAAATAAAAATAAAAGGGTAAAAATGGATATTGATAATGTTATTTATTTGTCCAATGATATTTGTTTGTTTGCTAATGATATTTATTTGTCTAAGAGTGAGAGAGAGAGAGCTGGAATGAAAGAATGAAAGAGGTGGAAAGAAACAGAAAGAGAGAGAGAGAAACAAAGAAAGTAAATAGATGGGGGAGGGAGGGGGAAGGAAGGGGAAGAGAGAGAGAGAAGAAAGCAAACAGATGGTGAGGAAGGATGGAAGGAAGGAAGGAGGAGAGAAAGAGAAAGGTGGAAAGAATGAAAGAGGTGGAAAGAAAGAAGGAGAGAGAAAGGGAGAAACAGAAACAAAGAAAGCAAATAGATGGGGGAGGGAGGAATGGGGAGGAAGGAAAGAGAGTGGGAGGGAGGGACACAGAGAGAAAAAAGTTTAGGGAGTGGAGAGAGAAAGGAAGAAAGAGAGAGAAAGGAAAGAAGAGAGAAAGAAAGAAGAAGAAAGAAAGCAAATAGATGGGGGAGGGAGGGAGGAAGGGGAAAGAGAGTGAAAGAGAGAGAGGGGTGGAAAGAAAGCAAATACATGGAGAGAGGGGGGGAGAGAGGGAGAGAGGGGAGGGAAGGAGGGAAAGGGGGAAAGAAAGCAACTTTAACTTTAAATACGTCCTCCAAGCCCCTGCCCCACCAGCTGGCTTGGCTTGGAGAAGGGATTTAAAGAGACAAATGCCGTCTCCAAGCTGGCTGGTGGAGGGAGGGGGGCTTTGAGAATTCATTTGAAGCTTTCTTTCTCTGCTCCCCCCCCCAGCCTACCCAAGGAGGGGAACACTGGCTGAGGAAGGGAAGACCGATCAAGGAGGCATGCCTCCCCTTCACTTCCCCAATCACCCTGCTGAGAGTTGCACAGTATGTGTGAAATAGCCACATGTGGCTCCTGAGCCACAGTTTGGCCACACCAGGTTTAGATATTTTGATTCATGACACCTCATCATATTAATGAATCTGAATACTGCAGCTTACCTGTGGGTATCTCATTCTCTACTAGTCTGCTTTGCTTCTCTGCAGTCTCTGTATCTTCCTAAAATACTCCTCTCCATAACTGGTGGTCAGTAGTTCTACTGATTGTCCAGATTTCTGCTTCTGTCATAGATGAATCTGGACAATTCATGGATAAGGATCTGGAAAATAACAACTATTATGAATTTGAAATTAAATCAGCCACTAATCATGGCATATAGGCATTATTCACTATGTGATGGAACCCAGCTACTTTAGTTGTAGCCCTAGCAGTTACACATAGAGCAGACAATTTCTTAGTCTACCAAAGAAAACTCAGTCAATGAGGGTTTAAACTGATCACCTTTTTTGTTTAATACAACAGTTACTAAGGAGCTGTCATGACATTAAAGAAATGAATATTTTGCATTTGCACTTAGTGGCACTACAAGAATGAAGGTACCATATGATATAACTTCATCTATATTAAGTAAGAATTAATTGTATTCCTAGTAGCACTTCTGGAGAGCATGCAGATGGTCTTTTGGCTGGAGTCTTACATGTTATTTGCATTTTTAAAAGAATGCAGAGCAGTTGCAGGTGGCTTCAGGCTGGCCAGAGGACCAGTGGAAAAGGGGCACTTCCTTTTCCCTGCCAACTATTTGTCTATACATAATCATAGTCCTGCCTGCTGCATATTTACCCTCAAGGGAGAAAAGATACAGGGATTTTATATCTTCTACCAATGGATAGGAGCAACTGGGGTGGGAGATGGTTTTGAGTAAGGCCTAACTTCATATCCCAGCTCACCCATGCACTCACTGATTACATGATTCTAGGGAAGCCTTTGTCTCTTGAATTTAGTCAATAATCTGTAAAACATGGACAATATTGGTCTGTCTTGCTGGATTATTGTAAGGACAAATAATATAAAGGTTATTAAAGAATTGTAATGTAACAGTGTTGTAAAAGAGGATGATTATGATGATAATGGTAATGATTATGATAATGAAGGCAACTAGGTGGTACCCAATACATAGGAGAAAGCCTAAAAGTGTCTGAAAAGAAAAGGGATGTGGCATCTGGAATAAAATACTAAATGCAAACATGAAAATCTGGCAAGAATTCTGAAAATGAACATGGCATACATGTTTGAGGGAGAGGGATAATGGGAATGAGGCTGCTAAGCTCAGAGTTGAGGAAGTACAATTGATTGAAATCTGACTGATATTTTAGAATGTTAGGCCAAAGAAGAGCATTGTTAGGCTTCCAACAAGACAGACAGTGAATACTAACAGAACCCTTCATAGTTCTCCTACTGGACTAGAATTTTTTATTCTACAAAATGTATACCTCACTATCATTCCTAATCCAAACATCAGTGACACAGCAGGCTCAAGCCTGTTAGTAGTTCATTAACAATGGTAGCACCTTAATAATAATATTAATAATAATAAGGAATAATAATATTATCCTGAGCTGGATGATGTTAGCCAAATTGCCTTAAATTCTCAATTAATATTGGGGAAGTTATGATTATTAACTGGCAATAGGCAAATTAGGGTTCACACCAGTTTATACAGAAGTCCCACCTTTACTGTAAGTACCAGAACAGAGACTATGATTGGTAAAATATAATGTCTTTTACTGATGGAGATGTCTCAGTCAAACAATACTCAAGCGCACACACACATACTGATTCTCAGAAATAAAGATAGATCATAAACACATTTGCATTAGCAGGAGTTTCGTTGATTGGGTGATATTTACCTGTGTTCATAGACTGAGCCATTCCAATGGGAAAATGGAGGGGTTAGAAATAGAAGATGGGGAACATGTGCTCTAAACCGGCAGAACCACGTGGACTCTAGCTGCAGATCTAGAGTTTAAAGATGGAGGTAGGGTATATGGATAGCAAGCTGGACATAAGAGGGTTAAAGCTTCGATAGGGGTCATGGAGAGTGGGAGAGAGAGACAGACCATGTGCTCGGGCAGCATCTTTTATAATGTGGTGTAGGGGGGGGCAGGCTAGTCTGGCCACATCCCCCTGTGACACCTCCTGTTAGTCTGTCCCATAAAACATACTAATGGTTGGCTGGAAGAGGGGAGGGGGACTAAGGAGTGGTCAATATTGAGATCTAGAAACTTAGGCTGGAAGCTGGCACCTGGTTGCAGGTAAGGTTAAGGTTATTGTCTCTTGATGGCCCTAGCCAGGTCGTTGATGGGCAAACAATTAGTTGCCAAGCAACTGCAGGGAGAGTCTCTTGAGTACGTGCAGAGTTGTAGGTAGCTGGAGCGGGGGAGGGGTTGCCTACATGTGCTGGAAGAAACTCCTAATGGTGTTTGGAGCTTTCTGTCCTCATGCTTGGGCATGGTGTTACACAGACAAAGGAACTGATCCATCTCACACCAGGTAAGAGGGCAGGTAACCTTGAAGAGCTGCTGGAACATCAACGCAAAGGAAGGTTTTTATTCTCTCAGGTGTACAGTCTCAACTGGTCTCATATTGGCTCACCTTGCAGTACATTCCCTTAATCAAATCTTTGCATAGTCCATATTTATTACTTATGAGATATAGTTCATAAGCGCACATTAAGTGCCTTGCTGGGCAACAACGGCTCAGGCTAGGTCAGTCTTGCCAGATCTCAGAAGCTAAAGCAGGGTTGGTCCTGGTTAGTTACTTAGATGGGAGACCATCAAAGAATACCAGGGCTGCTATTCAGAGGCAGGCAATAGCAAATCATTTCTGTTTATGTCTTGCCTTGAAAACCCTATGGCATTGCTGTTAAGTCGGCTGCAGCTTGGCAGCACTTTACATATATACACAATAATAATATTACTAATAATGACAAAGAGCCAGTGTGGTGTAGTGGTTAAAGTGTCACTTATAGTCTAGGAGACCCAGGTTTGAATCCCCACTCCACAATGGAAGCTCATTGACCTTGCCAGACCTTTGCCTAACCTTCCTCACTGGATTGATGATACAGTGGAGGAGAAATCTGATGATAAAATGAAGGAGAAAAGAGCGATTTTGGCTCCCTGTTGGGGAAACATGGTATTGATGAAGTAAATAAAATTAAAAATAAAGCAGTTAGCAAGCTATGAAATGCTGTTTGTAAACTAACCAGGAAGAAGAATATGCAGAATGGGTGATGGAATTTCTCAGAAAAAATATACTCTCAAACTGCATTACTTCTTGGAGAATTGCTTGAGACTTTTCCAGAACAAGGAAGAAAAGGAGATGTGTACATTTTTGCAAAGAAAAAATAGCAGCAGATATACACCTTAGTTCTACCTCTGCTGTTTGGCTACTCCTCAGTTTCAGCTAGCATATGTCACTGGAGAAACTAGAAACTTCTTTGCTACAGTTAATGAGACCCCTTCTGAATGTTGTAGCTCACTCTCCCCCCTAAAAACCAAGTTTTCCCAGCAACTTGAACGGATGAATGTGTTTTGCTTATTAAAGCAGCCTCAGAACTTAGATCTACATAGGCCCCGGTCACATGGCAAAGTTGCCATGGGAGAGGCACGGGAGTCCTGCGGATTTTCCAGGTGCAATCTCACCCCAACATCTGGGAAGCGCAGTGCTCCCGTGGCGAACTCGTGGCTCCCTGCCGAAGGTGCGGAGTTAAAAATTAGTACCTACAAGGTACTAGTTTCCTGAAACTACTGGCCAAGGGCGGGCGTCTGATCGCGTTCCCGGTGGACTTACGTGGCATCCGGCGCCCGGCGCTGTTCGTCTCCGCAGGTTGCGCAACAGTGCCCAACAGCGCATGCGCACAAAGAGCGATTGCTAGTGCGATCGCGCGGCGCGGCTTCTGTGCTGCGCTGCAGGATACCTGTCTGATCGGCATTTTCCCCGAACCACGGGACCTCGACCGGGACGTGTGCTCGGGCAGCAGCACACTAGTTTCCTCCGGACAATTAGCCACGCCACCCCCCCGCGCGCGCAATATCCGGCCCATGTGACCGGGGCCATAGTGAACTAGAAGGGTGGAGAGAACAAAAGAAAGCTGGAGGTAGATAGAAGGAGAAGGCAGTAATGATCAAATGGTAAGCAGTATCCTGATTTAGCCCAGCTTGACAGATTTGGGTCTCCCAACCCAATCCTTAATGATACCTCAAACTATGCAAATGAGAAAGAGGCCTGTCAATAATAGATTGGGCCTCCTGTGTAAGCTGCCAAGAGCCTCATAGCAGCAGATGTCTGGGACTGTTTGAAATAAAGTAGTCTCTGAGCAATGCCCAGGCTTACAATACTGTGCAAGACCACAATGGAAGTTCTCATGAGAAGACCTTCAGCCTCTATGTGAGCTGTACATCTTGGAACTGATACACCAGCAGGGGAACGATCCAAATCACTTGTAGAAGAGCCAGGATTAGAATTCAGTTCTAGTGAAGCTTTCCCCCAAAGTAACATGCTCCACCAAGCCTCCCTTCTTCACTCCTTTCTCTTTTAATGTCATGTCAAGCAGATTCTCTGACCAGATAAATAACAGCATTAAAAAGTGCCAGCTTTAGTCAGAGAACAGGGTCCTGATCATATATCCTTGAGGAGGTGGCTGCTATGCAAATAAAATTACAGATAGGTTAAGTGTGGGTACTGCTTTAGGTCTAGAAAATATTGCAAAGGAAGAGAGAAGCTCAGAGCCACTCATTACTAGGGAGAGATGGAGCAGACTTCTGTTTTAGTCACTTGCAGTTTATGACCAGGCATGAGCCAAACTGCTGGACAATGCAGCCCAATATCCTCCCTCTGACAGTGGCTAGTTAGTACCAGATGTTATAGAGGAAAGAATGCACAGGCCAGCTAGAAAGTGATGATCCATTTCACTCCTAGTGTTAGATAATAGTAGGTGGAAACAAATGCTTCAGAGTATTAAAAAAACCAACACCTTGTGAATAATGTAGAACAGATCCACAAATAGGATAGGGCATTTCTGCTGTACTCTGTTCATGAATCATCCCTATCATGTGCATCTGTTTATTGTAGTATTTCTCACATCTGTTCCTTAATGTGTGCTCTTCTGTGAATGAAAAATACGATTTTGGAATCATTTTACAGTGTATAACACAGGCCATCAGCTTTCACACCTGCCCACAGTAAGCATAGCATGGAGTGGCACTGCAATGAATATCCCAATTAACTACAGGCTATTAATTTACTCTGCTTTACAAAAACACAGTTCTGCTATTGGTTTTCTGAGTGTACAGGGTCACCATTTATATTTATTTACTTTATTTATAGTCCGCCTTTTTCACAGGGACTCCAGGCAGATTACACAGAGTAAGTCAACCCAATCAACACAATGGGATATCCAATAACCAGTGCATTAGGATTTTAGAAGTCTGGAACCACCAGAAAGAACTGAAGCACAGCATAAATATTAACACGACACATTAAGCAGTACAAAAATTGCATAACAGGAACCTATTTACAATAAGCTATACATAGCAGTAATGACCATAGTCCCTAATCATTTATCCAAGTAAGTTTGTGAACCGTTTTGTACAGCATAACCTATAACCCATGCAGAAAAGCTTCTTGAATAATTCAGTTTGGCATAGTTTGCAGAAAGCCAGGACACTGGGAGCTTTCCTGACCTCCTCTGGCAAGCTATTCCATAAGGTGGGAGTCACAAGGAAGAGAGCACGTGTATTGGCAGTTTTTGTTTTTGCGTAGGAAGACACCTGCATTTTGAGAGGAGTTATCCTGTCTCCTAAGTTTTAGATGACATACTTTTTATTTACATGATTTATAGTCGACCTTTTTCTCACTGAGATTCAAGGCAGATTACGCAGTACAAATCAATGCATTTGTGACGGACCACATTTAAAAGGCTATTTTCCTAATGCAGCAAAATCAGAAAAGGGAGGTAAATAGTTAATTCTGCTCTAGAATCTTGAGCTTGAGTGACAGGTGGTCCTTTTTCTAACTGGCCAATGCTAGCTGAGGGAAATATAAAATCAGCTGTGTGCTGAGGGAAGAGTGAATTTGTTTTGAGTTCAGTGACAGTTACTGGCCAGTAATGAAAGAGTTTAGCTACAGGAGTAGATGTCTGAAGAGTCTGACTAAAAGTCTGTCAGACAGGTTCACCTTTTGAATAAAGGGAGAGACTCCTGGTCTTAGCTGTGTTAAACATAACCTGAGAAAGAATTCCATCCAAGAATTCAGAGTCTAGTGTCAGCTAAAGCTGAAGTATATTTTCACACAGACACCAAGAACTGGGGTTTGAGATTTTGGCAACCAGTGCCTGGGTAGCAGGCTGGAGCTCCCAATCAGGCCAAAAGGAAAAGGATTATATTTTCATGGAAGAAATATAAGTCCTGTCCAGTTATACAGTAAACTGGCATTGAGGCAGTCCCTGGTCTGTTGTGAAAGGAAATGGTT